CTGGGCGGGTATCCTTCACTTAGAGAAAAGTGGGCTATTTTTCATCCTGTGATGGTTGGTTATGTTGTCCCTGGTTGGAGCAGGAGGGTTGTTGGAGCCTTATGTGCAAGCAGGCTAGGGTAGCTTTTTCCAGATAGACTCTTTGATAAAGTCTCATGGTATGTTTGTGTGAGAGGATATCGGTTTCTGCAACCGGTTGGGAATTCGAAGCTTCAGATAATTGGTAGAATAGTTCGGAACTCAAGAGCTGTTGGGTAGATAGAAAATGCGTATGTTTGGTTAGCAGTATGTGATTGTGTGTTGTTTTGGAACCAATGATTGAGACTCGTGTTGTGGGCCACCTTTTTGTTTTCGGGTGCGAGGTTATAGGCGTCGGGGAATGCTCAAGGTTCTTTCTCTGGTATCAATGGGATAATTCAGGGTCAAAAGGGTTTCGTTCAGTTTGGGTTGCGATGTGGAGGCGTATTGACTATGTTTCAGAATGGTTTTTTATGTCGGGAAGTCAAACAAGGTATTGGATTTCTGGATTTTGGGCAGAGCAGTAATGGTTATTCTTTATTGGTTAAGTTAGCGAGGAAAGGATTCGTTTGTCGTTAGGGTATGTGAGTCCTGCTAAGGTTGGGTTCGTTTGTAGTATTGGAAGTGCATCGTATATATGGGTCGACTTTTAATTCGAATCAGGGTTCTTGAAAAATTGACTGAATCGTCTAGAGTGTCTGGAATGTAGTAAGAGGTGATTTCGAGGATGAAATCTAATTTAAGTGGGGGAGAGTTGTAACAACTATGTTCTAGATTGGTTAAGCTTACTTATATCAGGGACCAATGATGAAGTTTTGGATGAAATTTTGTGCCACGACGTGGCGCAAGGATGTCGACGACGTGACAATTGTTTAATGGATTGTCTGTTTTATTGGACCGCCATGACGTGGCTAGGGAAGGCCACGACGTGGCAACTGTTATGGCCCAATCCAATGTATTTTTTAGGGTTCCTTTTGTATTTAAACCCATCTAAGTCATTTTTAGGGTTCCTTATCAGCCTCCATCGCCCTCAAGTTTCAAAAACCCTAACCCTAATTCCTTTTTGTGAGTTGTGAGTCCATTTTGGTGACTTTGGTTGCTTGTGAAGAAAGAAAAGGCACTGGAAAGGATTGTGTTGCTTCTTGGCTGAAGTGAAGATCTCTTTTGGGCATCTCTAGACCTTTATAAGTGTTCTAGTTCCTTGCTTTTTGGCTTAAAGTGGTTAGATCTTGAATATTGTCCCATATAATTCATGTTTGAGCATCATATGTTGTAGATCTAGTCTTTGGTAGAAGTTCTTGTCATTTGCTTGAGTTTTGGTATTTATATCTCATTTTGACCTAAAATGGATTCTAGAAATGTATTGGACATACATGTTAATAAAGCTTCCATCTTTATGACGGATCTGGTATTGGAAAACCCTTATGGAGTGGTTGGGTTAAGGAATTTTTAGATTAAGGGCTTAATGGTTAAGAAATGATGGTATTTGGCTTTATTTGGACTTAGGGTTAGAGATTTTGATCTCCTTGGGTGTCTCAATGGATATAGTTGGAAACTTTATCCATTTAGACCATAGAATGGACTAGATATGAGCTTTGGAGCTCTTGGAATCGAGGAAAGCGGCTTAATCCATTAAGCTGCTGGAAACCCAGTGCCCACGGATTGGCAACTGGGAATATCATATATGTTTGGATGTTTGAGGGCCACGGCGTGGCGTTTGACTAAAGTCAATGTAACATCCATAAAAATCACAAGAAATTTAAATTTTTAAAATCAACCCAATTCATAAATTGTTTACAAATCATAGTATTCAAAACATTTCTCCAACATCAGATTCTCCCAAAATCATAAGTCATAAACAAGAGGATGTGTACGGTCACGCCTTCGCCTTCCCTTGATCATCTGAAGTACCTTAAACCACAACTAAAAACCGTAAGTCAAAGCTTAATGAGTTCCCACAAAGTACCAACACATAAGTAGATGACATATATAATAACAACATGTACTGGGTCCAGAACTAAATGACTGGATTACCCCTGAGCCCACAACATAAGTCCGACTTGCCTTCAGGCCCACAACTTATGGCTGGCTTGCTCCCTGACCAAATCAATCATTGGACTGAAGTATCATCAAGCCCTCAGTACGAGTCTGGCATACCACCCGGGCCTCAGCTCGTATTTAGAATGCTCCTAAGCCCTCGGTATGCGTCTGGCATGCCCTACCTGACCCTCAGCTCATATCTGGAATGCTCAAGGGTTTGTTGGCTACCGCACAAAGCAGTACAACCTCAACCCACCACAATATGTCGACATATAATAGATAACAAACATATACAAATAAATATGTAGACAGAAACACAAGTAGTGCCTATAGATCTACCAGACTAGCATATCGGCAACTAGCATAAGCATGCATATCTATTCCACACTCAACATATCAACGTCTAGCATGATATCAAACCAATGGGCCGACCTTGGTGCCTTCGACCTGTAAGTACAGTGAGGAAAACTCACCTCACAACTGGACACAAGTTGATGAGGTATCGACTCCGAATCTCAGCTCATACCGACACCTATCCATCCAAGTGACCAATCACAATCAAAATCCCAAAATACCCAAAATACCTATATGGTCAAACTTGGTCAAAGTCAAGGTCAAACTGGTCAAAATGCATAAATCAACTGAGTCAACCCAACAGAGTTAACCCTGCCGAGTCAACTTAGCAAGCGTACGTGAGGCGTACTCTGGAGGTACGCTGGGCGTACTCCTCCGTTGACCATATCGGGGTCGTTGACCGCGGGCGTAACCCAGGTACGCTCGGCGTAACCCCAAACTTCTTCTTTTTCCCATTAAGTGCTTAATATGACGTCTTAACACGTCCAAATGCAGATCCAAACTCAAAATGTCATTAGGAGTCATAAAGTTCCCAACTTTATGACCTTGGGACTCTCCATAACATGAATGGGACAAAACTAACCATTAGGACTCCATTTTTATGACTTAAGACCCCTCCTAGGGTCTGAAAGGACAACTTAATGGGTCAAGAACATGCCATGCTCAAGATCTAACATTTTGGGACCAAAAAACATCATTAAAACACCCATTTCTATATCTATATGATGGAGGGATAAAGTTTCAAGCTTTATACCTTAAAAAGGTTGCCAATGAGGTACAAATCTCAGATCCAAAGTGCTTCACTCCTCCAAGGTGAGCTTTACTCCCTTACTTCTTCTTCAAAGCACAAAAACACACACTCTTAAGCTTGGAATGGCTCCACAAGGCAAACTAGGGTTGCAAGAACGATCTAAGGGAAAGGTGGCTGGTGAGGTAAAGGGAAATGAGGCTATAATGGGGTTTAAATACGAGCTAAACCCTAAAAATTAGGTTTTCCAGATCTGGCAAGTACGCCCCACGCTAGATGCACACCCAGCATACTAGGGAGCGCCCTAGTACGCTCTGCGTACACGCGTACGCATGGCGTACTCCCCCAAGGATTATTTACGAAAATGCCACTAGGGCTCTTTATACGCACTTTCTTGAACTTAGGGACCAAAATGTAACATAATTAAATTATAGGGTTAAAATTAGAAGTACATTATCATCGAAATGTTACATCAACTTTAATTGTTGACGTTTGGCATGGGTTAACTTTTGGTCAAATTTCTATTTTTAGAAGGTAGACTTGGGGTTTGCCTTGTGTGGATTGTTAGGAGGTGTTTAACACTCATCTTTTGGTGGTGTGAGCTGTTAGTTGTGTTCGACGCGACATTGAGCTAAGTTTTAGTCGACTTTGTGATTCAGGTGGGTCTCCTCACTATACTTATGGGTCGAAGGCACCAATGCCGACCCACTGTATTATGTTATGTAGAAAGACCAGGTGGTGGTACCTGACAATTGCATGAAAGACCTGGACATGGCTCCTATCAAATTATATGCAAGACCAGGGTTTCGACCTTGACAATTATATGTAGTATGCTAGTTGTCTTTGTGATACTTGCATAGAAGACCAGGAAGTAGCTCTAGGCACTTGTTTGTAAGACCGGGTTTTGGCCCCTGACTTGACAAGGAAAGACGATGATACGGTTCATGACATAATGACAATTGTAAGACTATGGATAACACATAACAATCTTTATTGTATCTATGATATGTGGTATTTTGGGGAACTTACTAAGCTTTGTGCTTATAATTTTATGGTTATGGTTTCAGGTACCTCTGGTTCTAAAGGGAAGAGTCCGACATGACTGCATTGCATCCTCCAAAGTTTCCGCATTGGCTACTTATGTTTTTTACTCTGATGTTTACATGATGTAATCACTTTGATTAGTTTTGGAACAACTTATTTGTATGATTTATTGTTTTAAAAATGAAAATTTTACTCTGAATTTTTGGGACGTTACAACCTGATTTTACACACTGGTCCAAAGCCCGATAGTATGCCGATGGGACTGCTGTCAGAGATGGGCGGATCGTCTAATCTGTTCGGGCTCTCAGTACGGATCGCCCATGTCACCTTTATGTCGAGGTCGGACTAGGGAAGCCTTCCAGATTCCACATACGTCATCAATGTTCAAAATATAATGTAACATTCTCTAGAGTATAACTAAATCGTATCCATTTACCATATTTGAGGTTTTGAATAAACTAAATGATTCAAGTTGAGTCTTAGACAATCACACTATAATTTTTTTAGTTAACTAATACCATCTGAGTATTTGATTACATGTGAAACGACATATTTGAATAGCCGAATGCAACTTAAAAATATTTTAAATATATAGTTCATTGTAAAAGATATATCATATCCAAATTTTGACAAGTATATATTTATGATTTAACATGTTCTAAGAATAAACAAAATCATTTCATTAATGGTATACAATTTAATACTCCAACTAAGATATGATAAATCTTAGCTAATAATTAACTAAAAATTACGAAAAAAAAGCAAGAAATTCATTCCCCACTATAATAAATGGAAAATGTTATCAGAAACAAATTCCTCCCTAAAAAGAACAATTTCCTTTTTAACAAGGGTAGTTTTGGTAGCCAAGATATTTCGTGGCATTCTCGTAATATCAAACACATATGGAACCTAAAACCGACACAATATTATATTAGCTGTCATCGACGTCTCCGGTTCGCTGCGTTACTTCTAACCTCCTTAACAAAAAACAAAATAAAACGCTCAGTCCATTTACCAACTTCACACTCCGCGCGTGCATACTAAGCCAAAATTGTAGTCAAAGGATTCCTCGATTTTGTCGCCAAACTGGAGACCAAACAGCGCGTGTATCACACGTTTACGACTTTACGCGTTTACTCGATAATATCTGGGTCTAATGGCGGCCAAAATGTGGCATGATATGCATGACCATGGATGGTGTAAATCATGCATGATGTATGGCCATGACAGCTCATCATACATTCATACCCCAAATAGAATTACTGATAAATCTAACAAATATTTCAAAAGTATTCGAAACATTATTTACTTTCCATTATTTTTCATTTAATTCAATATAAATAAAAAAAGCATCCATATATACCCACCCAACATTTGCGTTTTGACTGCTTGAAATACGGAGTCAGTAACAGTGAAAGAAGAAGTCCATTGAGAAAGAAGAAATCATCACAATTTGGGGGTGGGAATTCGGGAGTGAGGACTGAAAAGGTAAACCATTTAAGTTCATCTTTCTTCTCGTTTTGATTTAGGGTTCTTCAATTTTTGTTTCAATTTTAAGTTTTTAAGTCGGTTGTTGAGTTTTTTTAGACTTTTAGTCGTGTTGAATGTTCTTCCATTGTTGTAATTAAGTCGGAGTTTCTTGAAATTCCTTCAAAACAAACGTTTTTTTTTACACTTGATTCCGAATCATCTTTAAAGAGAAATTTTTTCCATGGATTCATGGTCGTTTCTCTTTCTACAGGATTCGGAGAAGAGAATTTTTGATTTAATTAGGCTTTTTTATATGAATCATGCATCTGATCTGATATTTACTGATTTTGTAGTTGAAATCGGGTTATAGAGAGTTGTTTAGTAGAGAAAAATTGGGAAAAATAGCTGATTTTATGTCGGCAAGTTCATTGGCTGGGATTGGGGCTCCGGTGAAGCTCTGGGTTGATACTTCTGCTCTGTTAATCTGTTTTACTCTCTGCTGTATAATTCAGCAGAGTTTTTACATTTGTTTTTTAACAGTTTCGATGCGTTTGAGGCCTAAAAGGTACACAAAATCCTTTAATTCGGATTTGCAATCCGTCTGCTTTTATGTTTTTGTCTGACAGATTTTGATATTTGTGTCTTTTTTGCAGGACCTGTTCTGGTGTAGAGTGTTTTGGTTGTTTTCATATACAGAGGAGAGCCTTTAGTCTTTTCCTGTACCTGAGACGGCCTGTTTACACAATCAAAAACCAAATTTTTTGTTAAAATTTCAAAAGAGAATTTTCGTTTTTGTTCTTTTGTTTTTCTATTTTTGGGAGAGATTTTTCTGAAGAAAATGGTGGAAATGGCGGATATTGGAAAGCAAGAGAATGGTTGCAACAAGAAACCCAGAAAGAAAGGAAAGGTTATCGAACAAAATAACAACAATCCGATGAGAACTATTCGGATCATATGTCACGATCCTTACATGACTGATTCGTCCGATGAAGAAGAGCCTAACAAAAAACTCTACGGGTCCAAAGCTATTGTTCGGGAAATCAAGATTCCGGTGACTGTGACTTCCGGTGGTGAAATGAAATCTCCGGTGACTGTGACTTCCGGTGGTGAAATGAAATCTCCGGTGACTGAAGGATCTTGTCATGGTAGCAACAACAACAGCAATGGTGAAGGAGCTTCATTAAAAGGGAAAAGGGTTTTGATTAAAACCCCAAGTCAACCCCAGATCACCTCCGGTTTAAAATACAGAGGTGTCCGGCAACGGAAATGGGGGAAATGGGCGGCGGAGATCCGGGATCCGTTCAAGGGCCGGCGAGTCTGGCTTGGTACTTACAATACTGCAGAAGAAGCTTCAAAAGCTTATGAAATTAAAAAGCTCGAGTTTGAAACAATGGCAGAAGCTTTAAAGATCCAAAGTCAAAACAACAATGAAAAAAACAAGAAACCATTGATTGTCATCCCTTCCGATCATCAAAAACAGTCTGTTTCAGAAGATTCCGGTGGTGCTACACCACACGCATCACCTTCTTCTGTTCTTGAAGTGGAATCTTCCTCTCCCTCCAAACCCATTAAAAACAATGTTAAAGAGATTGAAACGTTAGCCACCACTACCACCACCATTGATGAAGATCATTTCAATGTCAAGCCAATGGAGATGGAGATTTTTACTGAACCCTTTGATGAAGCTATGTTATTGGCTGACATCGGAAAAGATTTGGATATCGAGGCACATTTTCTGGGAGAAATCCTTACACCAATTGATTGTTTTGAAGATATTCCTATTTATGGGTATGATGATAAAGATTCTACAACTTTACCTTGTGATTATTTTGATGACTTGAACATTGAAGAACATTGGATGAACACATACAACATCGACGAGCCGTTGACCGGATAGTAGAAGCGTTGACTATAATTTTTGCAGCTAGTAATCAATTTAGCTTAATTTATTATTCCAGAGATAGTTTTTGGAGAGTTTTAATATTAAAAGAAAAATGGATTTCATAAGTTAATATTTTATTTGTTTGGTTCGATTCGAAGTTTTTTTATTGTAATGAGAGAGAGAGAATAATTAGTCCTTCGGGTTTTGTTTCTTGTTGCTCAATTTCGATTAGTAAGTTCATTGTACATCTCGTAATGCATAAGGTACATCTGATGGAAAACATATTTTATTGAGAAGTTGCTAGGAATCCCAACTGTCTTTTCAAAGTAAATGTGTTATAAATTCCATTCCTAGTGCATTTAAGTGGTGTTTCTGGCACTCTATGGTCAACAACATATAGATGACTACTCACTTTTCATTGTCAAAACATGACATCACAAAAACCTCATTAATACAAATTCATATGAGAAATTTTGTTTTCATCGTATAATAATACAAAGATTTGTATGTTTAATGGGTGTTTAGAATACGAATTATCAAATATCTTTTTATTTTTTGATTTTATTCAATTTTCTATTTATTAGATAAAAACAAGTTCAAAAGGGATTATTTTATAATATAGACATCTTGATAAGTTGTTTAATTATTTTTATTGGTTGAAATTTTATTTTTTTCTAAAAAAAATTAGACATAAGTAGTTAATCATATGTAATTTTTGATAAAAAGTGTTCCCGAGGTGTCTATTTATCAACACTCAATCAAGATAAACATTTAAAAATGTACTGCTAAATTAGCACCCCTTAGGCTTTAAGGGTGTGTGTGCGGTTTCAAGTGCAATTTACCACCTCGCTTGGTGGGAAACACCGCCCCCACCCTACGGTTTCGAGTGTTGTTTGGCCGTGCACAACTAATTCTTGTCTTCGCACATGTGGCGCCGACGTGACAGAGGAGGAAATGTGGTTCTTGTGTCACCACATCCTTCAGCCTTAGATAACCCATTAACATCTTTATCAAAAGTCAACGTATAACTACTTATATTTTTTTTTCTTCCTGAAAACAATACAATTTCAATTAATAAAAATATCTCAAAAATCAAATAGGATGTCTGTTAAAATTGAGTGTCTTTTTAGTGAATCTCATTTAAATAAAAGAATTAATGTATTCAATGTCATTATTTTAAGAATAGAAAAAATAATATTAAACAAAAAGTGAAAATATATTTTATTTTTCTTAAAATATACAAAAGTAGAAAATGTAATTCACAAAATAGATAACCCATATTGATTTTCTAAGTTAACCATATTAGTTATTTACTTTTTACATAGAGTTTTGGTTAACAAAATCGTTCATATATATTTGGTTTTTTTATAGTTTGACAATATATGTAAAAATTTAAGTTAATAGTAGATTATTATGTATTAGGAATTATCAATTATAATTTTCAATAGTTAGTTGTAATTCATACATACTATTCTTAATTTATTATTGATTGCAGTTTCTTATTTTTAAATATCTATTAAGTTGTTTTTTATTAAGAAATAAAAAATTGTCACTGTTTACTTAAATTCACAATTTATCGATTCATTTTAAAATTTCATGATGAATTGAGTATCATTATGTCGAATGGTTATCCTTATTTTCAAGTCCTATTTCCTATGATATATTATTTTTAGTTTTGAAAAGTATAGTAAAAGTAAGGTTAATTGGTTAATCAGTTAATTAAAAAAATAGCAGTTAATTTGATTTTTTGGTTTAGGTTTGAGTTCGAAAAACTAACATATCAAGTTTTCTGTTAGCCTTCTGAAATAGCATTTTAGTTTGGAACCATCCATGAAGGCTCCTGATAAATTATAATAATTATTGTAGAGGTAAATAATCACTAAAACAATAGATATAGAATCCAAATGAGTCATACATAATAAATTTTATGACTTGAAAATTTATGGATGGTCTTTGAAGAATTAGTTTTGCCTAGTGTAAGTTTGCCTGTCATCTCTATTGTAAAAATTCGTATAAAAAATTGTTGGTTGTTAATAATAAAACAATGGTGTATTGAATACGTCTTCAATATATATGGTTGTTAGTTTATGATATTTATAATAATAATAGTTATCATGTAAAATTAGATTTATATCAATCGAGTGTATTTATACATGTGAATTTATGGGTAGACAGAAAGGGATGTATGGAAATGGAGGCCCCTCTTGGGTGTGATATCTACCAAGAATATGTGTGAAAACTGATGCAATATCTGCAAAGCCTACAATGTATCACATGGTTAATGATGTTTCTCAATCTCAGATGTGTTTGGTGGCCCTTAATGTCTCCCTTATATAAACTTCTATTAAGTTTTTTTTTTTGAATCATCGTTGAGTTAAAATTTCGTTACACGTAACAAATAACGACAAAAAGAAAAAAAAACCTGTATACGTAAGATTAATTTTATCAATATTGGCTTGAGCATAAAAATGAAAGGGTTCTTAATGAACTTTACCGTTGTCGGCTTCTTTGCCGCCATGATGTTATGCTTCTTTAGGCAATAGGAAAAACAATCGTGATGGCACCTTCAACCCAAGGGGATGAGATGACCGTGGTAGACGAGGGTAACCTCTTATCATTCACTTGCCTTATTTTTTATGTGCTAGGTTTGAATTTATATTAGACAGCAAAAGGAATTTGAAGAAAGAAAGATTGGTAACAAAAAATCCAGGAAAAAAACATAAAGACAAATTGATTTATCAGGGTAATTACTTTTTGTTTTGATCATATTTGAGTATTTTTTTTATATACATGTAGATAACAAATTTGTTGGAAGTGTTCATATATGACTATTATTACCGGCTATAACAAATTACAGCTTACGTGACGTACACCTGACATATACGTGGCAACAATATTTATCCAGGAGGGTAATGAACTATTGGTTTTGTTCACATTTAGACATTTTTTTGTTCACATCTAGACAATTTTTTTTCTGTTCACATTCGACCATCTAACTTGTTGAAGTTGTTCATATAATATCATTGTTTCGGAAATTCAAATCGGTAGTTAAAGTCGTTTGTCTAACTTGTTAAACCTGTTCACATAATACAATTATTTATGAAACCAGTCGTTTGTCTAACTTGTTAAACCTGTTCGATTTGACACAATACCATTGTTTGTTTTGTAGGGTGGGGTTCGAACCGGACGATTAAACTTCTGTTTTACGATTATTATCCTAATGGAAGCTTGAGCTTGCTCTTCCATGGTGCAGGGAATGGAAAACGAGGATCAAAGTGGGAGACTAGGTATGTGGGTATACTAGGCATGGCTCATGCTCTCACGTATCTACATCATGACTGTGTGCTCGTTATTTTACATGGAGATTTGAAAGCCATGAATATGTTCTTAGGTCCGAACCTACAACCCTACCTTGGTGATTTTAGGATAGCTAGATTTGTTACGAAAGACCAAAACCAGAAACCTCAGTTGGCTCCCAGTCCCAACAAAATGGATAATAATCGTAGAACAAAAGTTTAATCGTCTGGTTTAAACCCCACCCTAAGAAACAAATGGTGTTCTTGTGTCAGATCGAACCAAGCGTCTCAATTTCAGAAAATAATGGTATTATATGAACAACTTCAACAAGTTGGACGAACGACTTCAACTACCGATTTAAATTTCTGAAATAATGGTATTATGTGAACAACTTCAACAAGTTGGATGGTCGAATATGAACAAAAAATGCGTAGATGTGAACAAAACCAATAGTTCATTACCTTCCTGGGTAATTATCGTTGCCACATATATGTCTCGTAAGCTATAACTTGCTACAACCGGTCATATGTAAACACTTCTAACAAGTTCGTTACCTAGATGTGTACAAAAAAAAGTTGCCCATATATGA